ACAAATGTGATTCAAATTTTCTTATACTTACTGAATTTCTCTTGATGCAATTTTATTTCTAAAATACTCCTTTAAAACAAATTTATCATTTTGTATCTGAACTCGACAAATGCTCAATACAACATCCGGGTTTTTCGAATACAATATAACAAATATGTATCTAGTAGTTGTTTCAATTGGCCTTACAAACTTGCCGAGGACACTTTCAGCATAGGGCACATTGCTTTCACTATAAAAACTTCCCGCATTGTTCTCTGTATAGAACAAAAAGTAATGCTTCTCCATACGATGCATAGCATTATTATTACAGGTTTTTTGCTGCCAGGTGAAGTGTGAATTGATCGTCAGCAAATAGTGATAGGGTAAATTAAAAGTAGGACGAAGTCCAAAGCTGGAACAGTGCAGAAACCCAGCAGCTTCGTCTTCAATTTCCAATATTTTAGTTAACGTTTCGAGGAGTGAACCCTTCAGCGGATCTCTAGATTCATTTCGCCACTTGTCCAATACGCAGCAATATCTTAGAAAATATTGATAGACTTTAAAGAACTCTTGACGTATTTTAATTAGAAGATCAAAATCGAATTTTGATACGATCAACCAGATCCATTCGTCTATGAAAAAGTTAACGTCGCCTTTATCTGACGATGAAACCTCTGCGATATGCTCATAACTCAGGTTTTCAGAGCCTGAAAAGATAGTAGAATATTAGATTAAACATATAGATCATTTGGAATACCTACCCGAAAACATAGCCACAGCCAATGGACTCACAGCAGTTGCATATCTGATAATATTTTTTTGCTTCGTGCAGACGAGCCAATGCGCAGTAGTTTGAAACGGTTCTAGGAATTTGCGCAAAATCGAATTCGGATGCAAATACACTTTTGATGACTGACAGGAACGCAAAGTGTTATGCTTCTGATCCACAGCACAAATATCGGGATACATGCCGGCCGTCAAAGCAGCTTTAACCACAGGCCAATTCTTCGATTGCATGTTAATGCTCTGAAAGCATAATTGGCCATCGCTGTGTATCAAATGGGCCGCTCGCAAGGAGTTAATAATTTTGATGCGCTTCAGGTTCACCTGCTCCATAAGGCCGTTACGCACGAGTTCATATTCGTCAGTTAGGCAAAGGGACAAATTTTCATTTTGGAAGTGTGCTTGCCATTCTTGGAAAAGATGTACAAAGATTATGTGATCTGATAAATGACCCTCTGCCAAGCGAGCACGTTCTTCTTTGATACAATTCTGTATATAAATTGTAAATTGACTCCACTTTGAGTCAATGTCTTCGTTGAAGGGCAGACTCAATGGATCTGCTGTGCACAACGAGCTGACAATGGTTAATATCGGATCCAAACATTGTAGTAAAATGCCAAAGACTAAAGTTCTACCCAGTTGACAAGACACGGGTAAGTCTATCAAACGAATGCCAAGCAGGGTCGCAGCCTCCGATTCATCCAATACTTCAATCTTCTTCAGGAAGGCCACAGTCTGGTGGATGCTTAAGGGGGGAGGCGGCGTGATAGTGTATGCTAGATATTCACTAATACATACACCGGGACACAATAACTTGACAGTCAAGCAGATTTTGTCCAATTGCATTGTCTGCATCGGCGGCTGGCTAAATTCATTCAACTTTTCGAAGATTTCCCTTGACATTAAGCGAAAACAATGTTTTTCACTGAAAGCTGAAATTATATAATAATTATGATATAAAAGAATCTTGGAAATCTGCTTGTGTAACCAACCTTTATCGATGCCATTATCAAGTAACAATTGTCTTCTCAAAAGACTATCTTTTGCTGCCCATTCATACCGCTCCTCAGTGCTATTGCTGATCCCATCATATATGGACTTTATCTGACATGCTGTATCTATTAGATATTGAAATTCTATTGGAATCGGCATTGATTCGACTATATCTGTAGCCAAGACAATTTTGCATGTCTTTGTTTGGGATTTTGTCAATGAATGCAAATACTCTTTGTCCATGTCCTTGTGCAGCAAGAATATGGCAAACTCTTGCAAATTTCCTGTTAAAAAATTACTCAACAGCATATAGTTGAGCTTAGCTAAATGATAATAACTCGGCAAAATGATCAAAATGTTTCCTGTAAAACAAAAATATATAAATGATAATATAGATGAAAATAAGTAATACACACAGAAAATTCGCCTGCATCGTTTCACTTTTATTTATAAAATAATTTAAAATAATAAAACACTTTTCTTCTTGTCGCTAATCGTATCAAAAAATTGAACAGTTCAAACGAATACACACACATTTTTAAAACAGATGTATGCTGCATATAGTAGATTACTGTTAAATTACAATTATTAAAACTATTTAACAGACACGAGACAGACAATGCGAACTATGTATGTTGTATGGCAATAGAACTCTCCTCAAGTGCTTTGAGTTGATTTAAGATTTGCGGCTTCTTTTTAACCTTTTCCATTTGATCTTTGTCGAGTTTGTTGGAATCGCCTGATTGAATTTTACTCTCTATTTGCTCAATTTCTCTGATTTTCTTTTTCAATTTTTTGATTTGTTTCGCTAAATCCACCTCAGGGTCTTCGGCAAGCGTAAGTTTCTTATCTAAAGTTTTCGTTAATTTAGATATTTCCGGATCCTTTGGAGATTCATTATTCGTAGAGTTGGGCGGCTTAGCGTTTGTCGTTTGTTTGGCAGCAACTTTAGTTAATTGTTGCTTCTCCACTTTTTTCTCGATAGCCTTCTCCTTCTTTTCGCGCACCTTTTTCATCTCCGCGGCTAAAATTGGGCACATGCCTGGCGGGACGCCCGTTTGTCTCTGGGCAATAAATTGTTTGCCCTTGCTTTCGTACAGCGGCACTTCTTCTTGGGGTACGTATCCGTCTTTCACTCGTCGTGCCTTGCGCCAAGTGCCATCTGGCCGCTTGGATGCGGGAATCACTTTTCCTTTATTGCCTTCCAAATTCGTATTCATTTTTATTAAACAATACCACTTTAAAATGTCGTTTTGGTCAAAAAACAATATTCTAATAGCAATGCCGAATATATCGATACACACATAGAGATGGACCACCAATAGTACAAGTTCTCAAAGTGAACCACTCGTGCTTTTAACAAATCTAATTGGTGGAGCTTTAAGAGTATAAATATGGGTGTACGAGTTGATTTTT